GGGGGGGGTCCGTGTGGGGCGGGGCCGGGCGGGGCGGGGCCGAGGGCAGAGGCTGGAGCTCAGTTTTCTTAGGTATTAACAGTGAAATCTGTTAAGGCCGGAACCTGTGTAAGCTGGAAACCTGCCAGAGAATGGAAATTCAAATATTTCCCACTAATAGCGATAGACAGGTGGTCAGACTGCACCCTGTTCAAGGGGGAAAACTTGGGAGACCCGGAAAAAGAATGCAGTCCTATCAAAGTTACCTCTCAAGGACTTCACTGTACTATTTTTATAACCTGTTGTCTGTGTCGCTGCATCCATGCTACCCCAGAATAAGGCCAAAAAACCGAAACCAAACCCATTACAATTTCAACTCACAGCGACCCTAGAGGACAGAGTAGAACTGCCCCCTAGGGTTTCCAAGGAGCGGCTGGTGGATTCCAACTGCCCAACTTTTGGCTAGCAGCTGAGCTCTTAACCACTGCGCCACCAGGCTCCGCAGAATAAGTCCAGAGGGCAGTTTTCATTAAGTGATGTATTCCAAACAGTCCCCAAAGCCCCGGGGTTGTGGGTGGCAGTTAGCAGGGACAGCAGCTGTGGGCTGGCTGTGACTGGCAGGAGTCGGGGACCCTGACCAGTCACCTCGGTCCCCAGTCTCCATCTCCCTCCAGCCAGGCACCACAGCCAGGGGCTGCTGCTTGTTCCCTCAGCACCGCTGGGCAAGGAGAAGTCGCCCAGGAATAATGCCTTGATGGCAATGGGTTTTATATAGGCGGCTGAGTGGTAGGATCCTCACCTTCCATGTGGGAGACCCGGGTTCGATTCCCGGCCAGTGCACCTCATGCGCAGCCACCACCCATCTGTCAGTGAAGGCTTGTGTGTTGCTGTGATGCTTAACAGGTCTCAGTGGAGCTTCCAGACTGAGACAGACTAGGAAGAAAGGCCTGGCAATCTACTTCTGAAAAGTAGCCAATGAAAACTCTATGGATCACAACAGTCCGATCCACAACCATCATGGGGAAGGCACAGGGCCAGGCAGTGTTTTGGTTAGCAGCCATAGCTCTTAACCACTATGCCACCAGGGTTTCCAAACCACCTATATAGTACATAAGTATTGTATAATTTTATAATTGTTGTTAGGTAGGTGCTGTCGAGACAGTTCCGACTCATAGCGGCCCTATGTACAACGGAAGGAAACACTGCCCGGTCCTGGGCCAGCCTCACCATCCTCACCATCGGGGTGTGTGTGTGTGTGGTGTGTGTGTGTGTGTGTGTGTGTGTGTGTGTGTGTGTGTGTTACTATTTAAGTGGCCCTGGTGGCGCAGTATATAGGGTCGCGATGAGTTGATTATTGACTCAAGGGGTACGGGAACGGGTGGCGCAGTGGTTAAAGTGCTCGGCTGCCAACCATGGGAGAAGGACATGGCAGTTGGCTTCCATAAAGATCACAGCCTTTGAAACCGTATGGGGCGGTTCTACCCTGTTCTTGCAGGGTTGCTGTGAGTCGGTATCGACTTCATGGCAATGGGTTTGGTTTTTCGTTTGGTGGCACAATGGTTAAGCACTTGGCTGCTAACTGAAAGGCTCAAACCCACCAGCCGCTCCACAGGAAAAAGACCTAGAGATCTGATCCCCTAAAGATTAAAAAAAAGATTAAAAAAAAAATGGTTGCCATTAATCATAGCAGCCCTACAGGACAGAGTAGAACTGCCCATAGGGTTTCCGAGGAGTGGCTGGTGGATTCGAACTGCTGACCTTCTGGTTAGCAGCTGAGCTCTTCTTAGCCACTGTACCGCTAGGACTCCTCCCCTACAGATTACAGTCCAGAAAACCGGACAGGGGTTTCCTGGAAGCAGCCAATCCCCACGCCTGGTGGGAGGCCGGGTTTACGATGGGCCTTTGAACGCTTCCTCTTTCCCGTTCTCAGCACAGGACAGCTTTGTGCACTCGGCTCTGATTCCAAGTCCCGTTTCTTACCAAAGTTAACTTTCCTTCCTCCTGCATCCTGGCCTCCTCCCATGAAGACAGAATGTGGGGTTTATTCTTGCTTTGGGTTCCATCCAAAATTACATAATTATAGATTATAGTATATATACTGTATAATTTTGTAATATAGTTAAAAAGAACAGCTGCCATCTAGTCGACTCCTACTCATGGGTCCCCATGTGTTTCAGGGCAGAACTGCGCTCTATGGGGGTTTCCAGTGGCTGGGACCTTTCGGAAGTAAATGGTGGATTCTAACCACCCACTTTGCAGTTAGTTGCCAAGCACTTAACCTTTTGTACGACCTGGGACTCCCTAATGTAATTATATATAATATATAATTATATAACTATGGGTTGACACAGTGGCTGCAACAATGGGCTCAAGTGTAACAACGATTGTGAGGATGGTGAGGCTGGCGCAGGACCGGGCAGTGTTTCCTTCTGTTGTACCCAGGGCCGCTATGAGTCAGAACTGACTCAACAGCACCTAACAACAATTATAAAATTATATAATAATTAGGTGCTATATAGGTGTTTGGAAACCCTGGTGGTGTAGTGGTTAAGTGTTATGGCTGCTAACCAAAAGGTTGGCAGTTTGAATCCACCAGGTGCTCCTGGGAAACCCTATGGGGCAGTTCTACTCTGTCCTATAGGGCTGCAATGAGTCAGAATTGACTTGATGGCAGTGGGTTTTATATAGGTGGTTAAGCGGTAGACTTCTCACCTTCCGTGTGGGAGACCCGCGTTCGATTCCTGGCCAGTGCCCCTCATGCACAGCCACCACCGGTCTGTCAGTGGAGGCTTGCGTGTTGCTGTGATGCTGAGCAGGTATCAGGGGACCTTCCAGACTAGGCAGAAAGGCCTGGCGACCTACTTCTAAAAAGTAGCCAATGAAAACCCTATGGACCACAACAGTCCGATGCACACGCATCATGGGGATGGCACAGGACCGGGCAGTGTTTTCTTCCCTTGTGCAGGGGGTTGCCAGAAGTTAGTGCCGAGGAGATAAGAGGCCAAAACCAATGGACAGAGCAAAGTGCCATGGGAACACTAATTCCTGCCACAGAAAGAGCCCAGGGGCCTCCATGCCTTCCGACACCGATGCCTGCACAGATTATTCCGAAGGCGGTGTCTGCGTGGCCCGAGCCATGCCTCTTTAGGGGCCCGCTCAGCAGCCCTTCCTCTTTCTCCCCGGGACTGCAATACTGTTTGTCCTCAAAGCGCCCCAAACAAACTAGGAGGGCAGAGTGCTTTTTGCGCTTCTTTTAATCAGGCTGTTGTGGCCAGCACGTCCCAGTGCTGCTCTGGTGTGTAAACATAGGTGTAACAACCCGCGTTTGGGGACAGCGATTGCCCAGAACGCTCTAAGAGTCTGTGCGGATGCGCCCAGGCGCGCGGAGCTCAATGTGCGCGAGTGCCCGGGCAACGCGTGGTGAGGTCCGCACCTTCACAGCGTCTTCGCAGCGTGGCCCCGTCTATACCGCGCGGCGAGGCCCATCTTCATCGCGTGGCGAGGACAGCGTCCAGCAGCGCCCCCGTACGCACCACGCGCACGTCGTGGAAGCCTTGCGCCCTCAACAGGCGCTGGTATTCCTCCCCGCTGCGCTGGCGGCCCTGCGTCTGCAGCAGCGTGCTCAGCGACTGCACCCAGGCACCCCTCGAGTTTCGCCGCTCCTCGTCCAGGATGGCTTCTGCCACCAGGAGCCCGCCGCCTGCGGGGAGAGGAAAGCAAGGTGGAGTCGTGCCCGAGATAGCAGGAACCCCGCGCGGGGGAAGGGGCCGCGTCCGCAGCACAGATGGGGACATGAAGAGTAAGGGCACCCCGCGGGCGGAGGGACGGAGGGGTAGAGACATTGGGGGAGAGGGAGAGAAGAGGAAACGGAACGGAGACAGTGAGGCAGAGATAGAGACAGGCAGTAAAACAGAAAGAGTGAGCGAGCGAGACAGAGATCTCTGGACGAGGAGTCACAAAGCGCCCGGGTTCAAAGGACAGTCACGGGCGCCCCCACGGAGCTGAGGTACTGGGCTGGGGAACTATGCTAAGAACGCAGGCAAGCTTTGCTGCAGCAACCCCACTGAACTCAGCCCGGCGCATGAGCACGCCCAGCTCCGACGACAGTCTGGGTTAACGACTGGATTCCACTTGGGAAGTGGGAAGGACGTGGGGGGTGGGGCGGGGAATCAGAGAGAGATGGGGAGGGGGAGCGAGACAGGCAGAGAGACAGAGAGAGCAGGAGGGAGAGACACGGAGAGGAGAGGGAGACAGACAGTGAGAGGGGGAGAGAAACAGAGCGAGACAGAGACCTCTGGACGAGGAGCTTGGGGCGCCCCCCGTGGAGGTGATTAACTGGGCTAAGGAACTATGCTAAGAAGGCAGGCCCGCTTATTGCAGCAACCCCATTGAACTCAGCCCAGGGTAGAACCAGGGCTCTGTCCAGATTCCACCTGGGAAATCCCACAGGCTGCTGGGGCCCAGCTTCCAACCCAGGGGAGCATCACCATGCCCACCTCCAAAACAGTTTAGGTTGGCAGTGGAGACAATTGATGTGAAAAACCTTTGAACAACAGACAGTGTGATGCGTGCGCGCGCTCACACACCTGCTTATATGTGTCCTATTTACATATGGAGTCGCTGGGTGGCACAAACGGTTAAAATGCTGCTAACTGAAAGCTTGAAGGTTCGAGTCCACCCAGAGGTGCCTTGGAAGAAAGGCCTGGCGATCTGCTTCTGAAAAACCAGGCACTGAAAACCCTGTGGAGCACAGTTCTGCTCTGACACACGTGGGGGCGCCGTGAGTCGGAATCGACTCAAAGACAACTGATTTGTTTACTTTTTTGTTATGTTAACGAGGTCATCCCAGTGGAGTTTCTGTCCTAAACCTAATCTCTTCCGAGTTAAGAGTTATAAAAAGAGCAGATCAGACCTAGAGACACACACATGGGGGAAGAGGAAGACAGACACTGGAGACAGATGCCTGTACAAGCCCAGGACGCCAAGGATGGCTGGCTCCTAGAAGCTGAAATACATAAAGACCTTCCCTTACGGCCAGCATCCGGAATGCAGACTTCTAGCCTCCAGAACTCTGCGCTATGGATTGAATTGTGTCCCTCAAACACGTGTGTCAACTTGGCTAGGCCATGATTCCCAGTATTGTGTGGTTGTCCTCCATTTTGTGATCTGATGTGATTTTCCTATGTGTTGTAAATCCTATCTCTGCTTGTGGTTAATGAGGCAAGATCAGGTTATATTAAAGAGGATTAGGGTGGGATGCTACACCCTTACTGAGGTCACAGCCCTGATCCAGTGTAAGCTGAGATTCCCTGGGGTGTGGCCTGCATCACCTTTTATCTTACAAGAGATAACAGGACAGAGAAGCCAGCAGAGAGGGACCTTATACCACCAAGAAAGAAGGGCCTGGAATGGTGTGTCCTTTGGACCCAGAGTCCCTGTGCTGAGAAGCTCCTAGACCAGGGGAAGATTGATGACAAGGACCTTCCCCCAGAGCCAACAGAGAGAGAAAGCCTTCCCCTGGAGCTGGTGTCCTGAAGTCAGACTTCTAGCCTCTTAGACTGTGAAAGGATAAATTTCTGTTTGCTAAAGTCATCTGCTTGTGGTATTTCTGTTACAGCAGCACTAGATGACTAAGACAATAAATTCATGTTCTTCAAAGCCACGCACTTGTGGTGTTTCTGTGCCAGCCACTCGAGGCGGCTAGGACGCTGTCTTTGCATCAACCAGGAGAATACAGCATGTTCTCACCTGGTTTGCAACGCTCAGAGATTTTGCCCAGTAACTGATGGACTTTGTCCTCCGGCCACTCGTGGATAATCCTGGACAGGACGTACAGTTCTGCTTCGGGGAGCCTGTCCTGGAAAAAGTCACCTGGTGCAAGAACAGCAGAACAGAATCGGTGGTTACAGAGGAGCCGAGCTGCCATGTGACGGAGCCTCTTCCCAGCCTGGGAGCTGGAGTCCGGGCGGCAGGGGAGGGGGACCCAGGGGATGAGAGGGGTCTCCCCGCAGCACATGGTGAAGGTTCAAGACGAAGGAAACACACAGGCAGCCAGTGACAAGGATGGTGCCCGGTCCTGCACCATCCCCATGATCAGTTTTGGATTGGGCCATTGTGATCCATAGGGATTTCATGGGCTCATTTTTGGAAGCAGATCGCCAGGCCTTTCTTCCTAGTCTGTCTTAGTCTGGAAGCTCCACTGAAACCTGTTCAGCATCCTAGCAACACACAAGCCTCCACGGACAGACAGGTGGTGGCTGCGCATGAGGTGCACCGGCCAGGAATGGAAGCCGGGTCTCCTGCCCGGAAGGCGAGATTCTAGCACTGAACCACCGCTGCCCTTGTTTTTGCCCTTTCTAGATATGGCAACTGGGAGACGCGCAGCCAGAACGCTCCTGAGAAGCGAGGACGGGGAGACTTCCTGTCACATACTTTGGACATGTTATCAGGAGAGACCAGTCCCTGGAGAAGGACATCATGCTTGGTAAAGCAGAGGGTCAGTGAAAAAGAGGAAGACCCTCATCAACAAGATGGATTGACACAGTGGCTGCAACAATGGGCTCAAACACAGCCACGATTGTGAGGATGGCACAGGACCGGGCAGTGTTTCCTTCTGTTGTACATCGGGTCACTATGAGTCAGAACCGACTCCACAGCACCTAACAACAACAGATATGGCAAAATCAATAACACAGTGTGATGGTTAATGCTGTGTGTTAATGGGGCTAGGCTGTGGTGCTCAGCTCTTTAGGGAAGCGCTGGTCTAGATGTTCCTGTGAAGGTATTTTGTAGATGTGATTAACCTTGACAATCAATTGACTGTATATAAAGGAGATTATCCTTGATAATGTGGGTGGGCCTGGTCCAATCAGTTGGAGACCTTAAGACCAAAACTGAGGTTTCTGAGGACAGAAGGGATTCTGCCTAAAGACTAACACAGACATCCTGCTCTAGTTGCCAGGCCATCGCCTGCCCTGCAGATTTCTGACTCCAGACTGCAGATCAGCCTGAGCTGCCAGCCTGCTGCCTGCCTTACTGATTTCCAACTTGCCAGCCCCCATAATCCTGTGAGCCAATTCCTCAGAATAAATCTCTCCATATGTGTGTGTGTGTGTGTGTATATATATATATACATTAAAAAACAAAAACAAAAGCCCACTGCCTTGGAGTCAATTCCAACTCACGGCACCCTTTAGGACAGAGTCGAACTGCCCTATAAGGCTTCCAAGGCTGTAATCTTTATGGAAGCGGACTGCCACATCTTTCTCCCGCAGAGCAGCTGGTGGGTTCGAACCACTGACTTTTTGGTTAGCTGCTGAGCGGTTCACCACTGCACTAGCAGGGCGCCGTGTATGTATCTACATATATACATATAAAATACGTAATATTGTATTTTATATATATACACATCTATATAACACACACCCACACACGTGCGTATGTATTGTAGGGCTATGTATATATATCTATATATATATATATACATATATACTGGCTGTTGGTTCGGTTTCTCTAGAGAACCCTAATACAGTCTTCACCATCTCCAAGATTTAGAGGTTTACAATACTCTACCTGTTGCCCTCCAGTCAATTCCGACTCATAGCGACCCTAAAGGACAGAGCAGAAATGCCCCACAGGGTTTCCAAGGCTGTAATCTTTACAGAAGTAGGCTGCCACATCTTTCTCCTGCGGAGCAGGTGGTGGGTTCCAACTGCCGACCTTCTGCTTAGCAGCCAAGCACTTTAACTACTGCACCACCGGGGTTCCTAGCTTTACAATGTCTGCCTTTTTTTTTTTTTTTTTTAATTATTATTCTGATGGTATCAAGAAGTCTCAGGGCTACAAGTACCTGAGACCCTCCGTACGTGTAGCTTTAGGCCACAGTCTTCTGGCGCGCGAGTCACGGGATGTTAAGCTTCCTTTGTGTGGATCCCAGTACGACGATGCCACCTGACCTTCTTCCCCAGGTCTAGCCTAAGCCTTCCTGCTCTGGCTCCTGCGTCACTTCCTCCTGGGGTCTCGGTCGTATACACGCGCCGGTGCTGTTCTCGGCTGTTCCCCATCCCCACCTACGCTCCCACCCCGCTGCTTCTGATGCCCTTAACTTAGCTCTCCCAGTTTCCTGATTTTCACACACACACCATACAACACAGACATACAGACACAGAGACTACTCACACAGACACACACCACACAGACATACAGTCACACACACACAGATAATACACGGACACACAGACACACACCACACCACACATATACAGATACAGACATACAGACACAGACACATACCTCACACAAAGACATACAGACACATATGCTCACAGACAGACAAAGATACACAGAGACACACCACACACACAGAGACATATCGCACCACACATACAGACACACCACACCACACAGACACACACTCCCACGTTCCATACCCAGAAAGAGACATGGAAGGTCGGCACAGCACTCACATGTGGCAAAGGGGATGGACCACGTACCTGGCATGAAGTGGATCTGAGCCGCCTGCTCTCTGGCAGGTTGGAAGCTGGGGGCGAGCTCGAGGACCTCCGGGAGGTCAAACACGGTCACCTTTAGGTGCGGGTACTCCTGGACAAGGGCGTGGGCCAGGGCTCCCGTGCAGCCTGCGGAAGCAAACACGGACGTGGCAACCAGACTCTCCTGGTGCCTAGGAAATCCCTGACGAGCCTTCAGAGTTCAGCTTAGGCAGAACCAAAATGATGCTTGAGAATACGGCACTGAGGCATTGGTGTGAAATGAAGCATGGGTGGCGAAGGGGTCCGGTGACCCATGCTAGGCTCTGGGCCATCTGGGATTAAAGGGAATTCTGAGAGGAACCAGGCAGTGGCAGAGGGCACAGGACCCGGGAGAATCCTTACAGGGCAGCACTGGGGCCTATACTCTTTCCTTCTTCCTGCTGAGGGAATGCAAGCATGATGGCTGGCACTGGAGCAGCTACGATGAGCCACGAGGCAGAAAACTATGGTAAAGACGGGAACTAAAAGCCAGAAAGACCGAGGGTGCTTAAAGAAAGCGGACCACCACAGGGGTCTGGGACACCCCTTGCACCTTGACAGGTGGGAGGAAGAGGTAACAGACCACCCAGTTTTCCGTCTGGGTAGCAGCAGGGAAGGAACCCAAGAGGAGTAACAGGAAGAGAAAGCGCAGCCCACTTGTCCTGGTGCTGCCCGCGGGCACCCACGCACCTCCCAGGTGGCAGGCTGAGGTGAAGCGGGACAGGTCGAAGGCCGTGGCCACGGCGTGCGCGCTCAGCTTGGTGAGGTCGTGCATGGCGTGCATGAACTGCAGCTGCGCCTCCTTGCTTCGGGAGGAGTCCTGCAATGGAATGGGGCACTGGGGAGAGTGGACACAGGTGACGGGGCCACGTGAGGGTCTGGTGTCTCTGCCCAGCGCTTCCGAAGGGAGAAGCTTAGGGTGGGGGCGCTCGGCTGTGTCCCCCACTGCCATGGGGAGGGCCCTAAAGGAGGGCAGACCAGCAGGTGGGGGCCGCCCTGTTTGTTCTGGGCTGAAATGCCCCCCAAAATGCACATCCACCCGGAACCTCAGAGTGTGACCTTGTTTGGAAATAGGGTCTTTGCCGATGTAATTAGTTAAGGAAGGAGCCTGGGTGGCGCAACAGTTAAGTGTGGCACTTCTACTGTGTCACGCGGGGTTGCTAGGAGTCGGAGTCAACTCAACGGCAGTGGGTTTGGTTTTTCGGTTTTCTGCTTCACTTAAACCTCCTGTTAACTGATAACATCTGCAAAGACCCCACGTCCAAACAGGGTCATGCTCACAGGTACCGGGGTGTTATGGATTGAATTGTGTCCCCCAAAAATGTGTGTCAGCTTGGCTAGGCCATGATTCACAGTATTGTGACTGTCCACCATTGTGTGACCTGCTGTGATTTTCCCGTGCGTTGTAAATCCTAACCTTTATGATGTTAATGGGCGAGACTACTTCTCATGTACTTTGGACATGCTATCAGAACGGACCAGTTCCTGCAGATGGACATCATGCTTGGAAAAGTACAGGGTCAGCGAAAAAGAGGAAGACCCTCAACGAGATGGACTGACGCGGTGGCTGCAACAATGGGCTCAAACATAGCAATGATTGTGAGGATGGTGCAGGACTGGGTAACGTTTCTTTCTGTCGTACATAAGGTTCCTGTCTATGAGTTGAATATGGCTGAACAACACCTAACAACAAATGATGTTAATCAGGCAGGATTAGAGGCAGTTATGTTAATGAGGCAGGACACAATCTACAGGATTAGGCTGTATCTTGAGTCAGTCTCTTCTGAGATATAAAAGAGAGAAGCGAGCAGAGAGGAGTGGGACCTCATACCACCAAGAAAGCAGTGCCAGGAGCAGAGTACGTCCTTTGGACTTGGAGTCCCCGTGCTGAGAAGCTTCTAGACTAGGGGAAGATTGATGACAAGGACCTTCCCCCAGAACCGACAGAGAGAGAAAGCTTTCCCCTGGAGCTGGTGCCCTGAATTCAGACTTACAGTCTCCTAGACTGTGAGAGAATAAATCTCTATTTGTTAGAGCCATCCGCTTGTGGTATTTCTGTTGTAGCAGTACTAGATAACCAAGACACAGGGTTAGGACTTCAATGTGTCCTTTGGGGACACAATTCAACCGAGAGCAGCCCCTGCAGCTTGCAGGTAGGACATGCTGAGTGTTTAAGATCCTGAATCTGGTGCTTCCTAGACAAGGGTACTTGGAGTGTGTGAACCTCAGCATCTAACTATGCAACGGAGACAGTGACCCCCCCAGACTATAGCTGTGCTGACCTCCCCACCCGTCTCTCCACCGAGACAGGTGGCCCCACCACCACCCTCCCAGCATAGTTCTTTGCACCAAGACAGCAGACCCTCAGTGGTTCTCTATGTGGATCCAGTTTTTCCATGGGCCACAGCCCGATTCCTCAACATGGATACACGTCCACTCCTCCGTCCACCAAAGACACCAATGCGATGTGAGCCACTCATGTCCGCTTTGTTGTTGCTGTTAGATGCTGTCGAGTTGATTTTGTCTTGGAGCAACCCCACGTGTCACAGAGCAGAACTGTGCCATAGGGTTTTCTTGGCTGTGATCTTTATGGGAGCAGATTGGACTACCCAAACAAAACCCATTGCTGTCGAGTAGATTCCGACTCATAGTGACCCTATATGACAGAGTAGAACTGCCCCATGGGGTTTCTAAGGATCGGCTGGTGGATTAGAACCACTGACCTTTTGGTTAGCAGCCGAGCTCTTAACCACTGTGCCCCCAGGGATCCTTTTTCACCACCCAGGGACCTTATACATATGTGTTACTGTTGTTGTTGGCTGCTGTTGAGAAGACCTTGATTCATGGCGACCCCGTGTGTTACAGAGTAGAACTGTGCTCCATAGAATTTTCTCGGCTGTAATCTTTATGGAAGGAGATCGCCAGGACTTTCTTCCATGGCACCACTAGTTGGGTTTGAACTGCCAAACGAGGTCGGCAGTCGATCGCAAACGGCTTGAGCCACCCAGGCTCCCTGTGTCCCGCTACCTTGAACAAGTTGTCCGCCCTCCTCCCGGAGACTTCGTGGAACTGGTTCGTGCCCTCTCGGATGGCGGACTCCAGGTGTGTGAAGAGCTCCCAGGTGTATTCATTGCAGAGCGTGATGAAACCGTGCAGTGAGTGCTCGCCCTCCGACACCAGGTACAGCCTCGCCAACTCCGTGTTGCTATAACCTGGGAAAACACGGATGTGATGGTTCAGGCTGTGTGTCAACTTGCTGGGCCATGATTCTCAGTGTTTTGGTACTCATGTAATAATGTGATCATCTCTATGATGGGATCTGCTGTGAGCAGCCAATCAGCTGAAAGGGAGTTTCCTTGGGGGTGTGGCCTGCATCGAATATAAGTGGACTTTCTGGCAAGACTCATGGGCTTTTGCTTGCTCTGGATCCTGCAGTTGGCTCTTGCTCCTCTGATCTCCAGTTCTTGGGACTTGAGCTAGCAGCTTACTCTCTGTCTTGCCTGCCAATCTTGGGATTCGTCGATATTCACAGCCTGTGAGTCAGAACGCTCCTGTCTGACCTGCTGATCTTGTGTTCACCAGCCCCTGCGGCTATGTCAATCAGGAGAAGCCTCTATCCTGACCGACAGACTTGGGACGCTGCAGCCTCTACAACCAGGTGAGCCATTTCCTTGGTATAAATCTCTATTTATGGATTTATATGCTTTACTGGTTTTGCTTCTCTAGGGAACACAGCCTAAGACAATGGACAACAGCATTCTCTGCAACAGCAGCACAGGGTAAACCTGTGATCTGAGGAGGTGCTTGCTGCACAGCTGGGGACAGCAACATGAACAGCATCTACCGACTCACGCAGAGAGGGCGCTCGGAGGTAAATCAAGAGGGAGAACGCAAACTGGGCAGCCAACGTCAATCGCTGTCACTGTCACCCAGAGCTGGAGGCTGGGATTCCCTACAGGCTGGTCCCGGGGGCTGTTTTGCCAAGGCCCCCGCGATAGGCAATGTCATGTGGCAACCTGTCTGGGCTACTGAGCCTTGATCAAATGCACAGTGCCTCATCTAGGTGTTGCTGGGCAGGTGTTTTGCAGACACAGCTAATGTTAATAATCAGATGACTCTAAGTAAAGGAGACTGCCATCCGTGATAAGGAGCCCTGGTAGCGCAACAGTTAAGCACTCAGCTGCTAACTGAAAGGTTGGCGGTTCAGACCCACCTGGTGGTGCCATGGAAGAAAGATCTGGCAATCTGCTCCTGTAAAGATTACAGCCTAGGAAACCCTATGTAGCACAGATCTACTCTTACAATGGACAACTGCATTCTCTGGCAATCTGTCTCCAATCTGTCTCCCCCGTGTATGACTCTGTTTCCAC